TCACTGTATTTAGCTAGGGCCTTTACTGCATTTTCTTTGCGTAGTTTTTCTTGTACACATTTTGCCATGCAAATGTTTATATAATCTTGGTTTTTGTTTATATTGCTAACTGGGTGAACTTTTAAAGGCCAATTAACATAGATGTTCAGAGAGAGAGTTACTTCTTTAAAAAGAAAGAAAAGCACACCTGAGAGTGACTTCAGAAACTTAACAAATGATGCTTGATAAGGTCTAGGTGTTTCTCTGCACATGGTATTCAACTAGATTTTACTCAGAGTAGTCCTACTTAATATACCTAACTTCATCATGTTGATTAACTTCAGTGAGCCTACACATAAAACATCGTTGAATACCCCTGATGAAAGCACTTTCTTGAGACAATGAAATTATAATAACCATCAAAGCCAAACTGCCCTCTGCCGGGCAGGGGAATCGAGAAAAACAGGCCTTCCAAGTTCCTTAAGTCTGAATGTTCAGGTCAGATTTTGGTATCCAAAGCCAACGTTTGAAAATCCCAAAATCGGGGAGAAATTGTTTGAGCTCTTCTTGTCATGATTTGCTAATGCTACTGCAGTCTCTCTGCTGCCGTGTCCTGCTGGACAGCCCAGTCCCTAAAGCAGAAATGGAAGCTTGTTTCCTCTGAGGGGCTACTGACCCATGGGGAAAGTCAGTCAGGGGCTGGAGCTGATGGTGGGTTAGAACCAGGTGGACTAGGCAGATTGTATCGCTCTTTCTCTCTTTCTGCAACCTCATCATCCCTAAGTCTCAGGCAAGCTGTCCAGATGATGTTTTTGACGATGACGAGAGACACGTGAGATTAGGCTAAAGCCTGCGTGTGACCCTTGTGCCTGCAAGTTCCTACCAGTATCCCTAAAGAGATTTGACAACCCAGATGGGTGCCAAAACTAGAAGGAGCCCTCAAAGCTGATACTGGTGAGATGTGTCCCACTTGATCAAATGTTGCTATAGAAGACCTGCTGAATATAGAAGATTCCTAAGCTTCAAAAATGCTTTCCCACCTGAGCATTTTTCTTAGAAGATCCAGAAGGACGTGGCACTTCAGCAAGTGTTACTCAAGCAAGTGCAGCCCACAGCCCATCTGCTGCTCAGCTTTAAAGAATTATCCGTTCCAGGAGCAACCTCGAGATTTCTTTAAAAGTATGTTAATTAATGCTGTATAAACAGAAGGAAGAGTTTTTTAACACAGCACACAACTGAACAGAGGTGTATTCCCCATTGTCGGGGGAAAGCTAGCGCTGTAAATGAATTCGGAAAATGATGAGACACAACTTACAGAGCTTACATCCATCTGTTAACCAGGATGGAATCTGGGAGAGCCTCATGTTCATGAACTCTTAGTGCCAATTGTTTTGTATAGATGCTGCTGTTTCTATGTTAAACCCAAACAATAAAGGTAAAGGTAAAGGTACCCCTGCCCGTACGGGCCAGTCATGTCCGACTCTAGGGTTGTGTGCTCATCTCACTTAAGAGGCCGGGAGCCAGCGCTGTCCGAAGACACTTCCGGGTCACGTGGCCAGCGTGACGAAGCTGCAGCTGGCGAGCCAGCACCAGCGCAGCACACGGAAACGCCGTTTATCTTCCCGCTATAAAGCGGTGCCTATTTATCTACTTGCACTTTGGGGTGCTTTCGAACTGCTAGGTGGGCAGGAGCTGGGACCGAAAGACGGGAGCTCACCCCGCCGTGGGGATTCGAACCGCCGACCATGCGATCGGCAAGTCCTAGGCGCTGAGGTTTTACCCACAGCGCCACCTGCGTCCCAAACCCAAACAATACCCCCCCAAAAAGTGTAGCCATATAACTTCAGTGAACCAACATTTATAGGCGTAAGGAAAAAAGACTCTATGAAAGGCTCAAGATGACACACAAAGAGATGACCAATATGGTACTGTAACTCATGGGGCGGTGCCACTGTAAGGCTACGTGAGATGCAGCAAGGGAAGAATCCATGCATCGACAGGTATGATTGACAGGTGACATCTGATGACCTAAGTGACAAGTGGGTGTGGTTTGTCAGAAAGGCCTTGCTGGTGTAAAAGTGTTCAAGCTTTTATAGCTGCACAGGTCTCTTTATCAGTCACTGTAGGAAGGTCGTGACATAATTCTCGGGTATTTTTATTTATTTGTTTGTCTGTTGTATTTATATCCTACCTTTTCCTCCAAGTTGTTCAAGATGGCTCTCCCCTTCCTCATTTAATCTCCACGACGGGTAGGTTAGGCTGAGAGGCAGTGGGGATTTGAACCCTGGCCTCCCAGGTACAAGTCCAACACCCCAGCCACTGCACCACACGGACTCTCAGTCGGGTATCAGTCTGCTACACTACTGGACTGTTAATATAACGCCCACACTGCATGATTTTCAGCAGTAGAACTTATGTGAGGCTTCTCACACAGGTTCTGAAACAGCCTCTCACACTGGTTAAAAATGCCATAGTCAAATTGGACCTCCCCCACCCAGCGTTACATTAACAATCGTATTGTGACCATATTGTGGGTGAATAGTCCCACATCTTACAGCAATTAATGCTGACCCTCCAAGTGATTTAGAGAATAATAATAATAAATTTTATTTATATCCTGCCCTCCCCAGCCGAAGCCGGGCTCAGGGCGGCTAACAACAATAAAATAGTACAACATTCTAAAAACATTTCATTATAAAAATTAATTAAAATTAATTTTTAATCTCAGTTTCTGATTTGATCCCAGAATGTCCCATTTTTCCTTAGGACATCCCTATTTTCATCAGAGAAATGTTGGAGGGTATGGAGTTATCCGATCACCAAGCCATCTGAAAGCAGTCTCGTATAGGGAAGTTTCTTTAATGTTTAATGTTTTGTTATCTTTTAATATATGTTGGAAGCTGCCCAGAGTGGCTGGGGCAACCCAGCCAGATGGGCAGGGTATAAATATTTAAATTATTCCTATTATTTTTATGCAATAGGACATCCCTATTTTCATGGGAGAAAAGTTGGAGGGTATGTTAGCACTGTCACATTTCCTCAACCTAGTCGCCATGTGGCGAGGGACAATTTTATCAATCTGGAAAAGGAAGGCGTAAACCTCTGCTTCCTGCACTCCTCAATGCAAATGACTTCTGCACCCCATTTGGTATTTTATTTTTTAATAACCCATGATAGTGGAAAAACCCATACTAATGATGCGTTGAATAGTAAATGTTGAAAACTGTGAGCACATTTTTGCAAAGATGTGTCTCGTATAAGTATACTCATCAGATGTATACCTGCTAGGTTTGCCCTGCTACATCAAAGTGTAAAATGGTCTTTACTCACGACAGAGGTTTACTGGAACACAGATCTCAGGGGCACCATTTCAAAGGCAAGATTCTGAAAGTCAGCTTTTAAGATAAATATTTTCTACGATCTTAGCTTTCACGCTTGTGTCATATGTTTACACACTACTGGAGAAGAGCCATACAACACACGTTGACAAAGATCGATTGCGCCACACACATGAATTATAGGATGAGTGCAAGGACTGGGGACCATAAGGCTGATCAGGCGGTAGGATAACATAAACAGCTTGCACTACGTTATGGCTGGACAGCCCATGTTGATCATGCATCCATCTCTGCCACAACGTTGACCTGCTTGGCTAAAAGACCCTCCTTGCTGGAACTGCAGGGGTCCAACATGTTCAAGCGGCGCCTCTAAATTAGCCATCTGGATGTGTAATCAAGTGGCACCCCAGTGAGGAAACAGAGGCCCCACGCCGATGCTCTTTGTGTGGGGAGGGGCAGAGTGACATTGTAGGTAGGATGATCTCAGCTCTGAGGCTCAAAATACCTCATGGTTCCAGCTATGAGAGCCAGTAGAGAACCTTTTGCTTGGACTAGAGAGACCAGCGCTCAAACTGCTACTCAGCCCTAAAGCTCAGTGACTTGAGCAAGTTACTGTGCATCTGACTCACCTTGCCACTTCATTTGGAGGGATAAATGGAATAATCCCCTTCAAGGAAAGGCAGGATGCAAACGCTTAAAGCTGCAAGTCTATTTCCTCCAACATTTCTCTGATGAAAATAGGGACTCCCTATTCCACAAAAACATGAATAATTTTATTACTTATATCCCACGCATCTTGACTGGCTTGCTCCAGCCACTCCGGGTGGCTTTCAACATACACACATAAAAACCTAATAAAACATTTAAAAGCTTCCCTATACAGGGCTGCCTTCGGATGTCTTCTAAAAGTTGTATACAGTGGTACCTTGGGTTACAGGTGCTTCAGGTTACAGACGCTTCAGGTTACAGACTCCACTAACCCAGAAATAGTACCTTGGGATAAGAAATTTACCTCAGGATGAGAACAGAAATCGTGCGGCGGCAGGAGGCCCCATTAGCTAAAGTCGTACCTCAGGTTAAGAACAGTTTCAGGTTAAGAACGGACCCCCAGAATGAATTAAGTTCTTAACCCGAGGTACCAATGTTACTTATCTCCTTGGCTTTTTCTCTGATAAAATTAGGGAAAGCGGGACATTCAGAGATCAAATCAGAAACCGGGATGGCTTCTGTACTGTAAGTCCGGCACTGTCCCTGGAAAATATCAGACACTTGGGGGGACCACTTAGAGGATCTGATATTTACACTTGCTCAGGAGTAAGTCCCGTTGACCTACTCAGGACTTACCTCTGAGGAGACATGCATAGCCTTGCATGGTACGTCTGGCTTCTGACTAGCTGCATTGAAGAAAACTCTTGAGCCTGACTTAACAAAAGGTGGAATCATGCCGTGTCAGTAACCAGTGTCTTTAGTTTTTGCCAACTCTCAGCTGTGGAAGGATTGGATTCTGCGAGAATATTTATTTTTCTGCATTTTTTTTCTATTACAACGTTCCCAGTGTTTTAAAAGTATTTCTTTTAGCACCAAGTGCTTTGAATAGCGAACTCTCTTGATGTTGCCTTGCCACTTATTGATAGCCACGGCACAAGGCGGCTGCAACATCAGATATGCTTATTCATACTTTCCATGCGCTGATGCAAATAGCCAGGCTGGGAGCTCACATTTCTAAATGGACAAGGGGCTGAACTTAGCCAAAGGCTGGAACTTTACTCGAAAACAATCTTGGATTTGCTGATAATGAGCAAAGAACGGTTGGCTCCATCTTCCCCCTTCCCTCCCGCTTCTGTCCTTCTTTTCCTGGGCAGCTTCAGAGGAGATCTATTTGTGAAGGGACATGGGGTTTATCTCACCCTGGCCTTTTATCAGCAGAGGCAGGAAGCTGCACAAATCCCTGGCAAGTGTCCATCTTCGGCTTACAGAGAAACACTTACTGGGTCCCAGACATGGTTCTCTTTAGGAAGCTAGACCTTGCTTGGGGGGTGGGGAATCCCCACCAATGATGAGCGGTGCATCATCTTTCTTCAGCTCCCTTGACCTTTTAGAACAACAAAAGGCAAGTCAGGAAATACATTTTTTTTTACTCAGGTTTACTGCATACAAGTAGAAGGGAAGGGGTCGTGTTTATGGCAAAAATACTCCATAGTTCTGAAATATAATATAGACCAGGGGTGGGCAACCTAAGGCCCGGGGGCCGGATGCGGCCCAATCGCCTTCTCAATCTGGCCCATGGACGGTCTGTGAATCAGTGTGTTTTTACATGAGTAGAATGTGTCCTTTTATTTAGAATGCATCTATGGGTTATTTGTGGGGCATAGGAATTCGTTCACCCCCCCCCCAAATATAGTCCGGCCACATGGTCTGAGGGACGGTGGACCGGCCCACGGCTGAAAAAGGTTGCTGACCCCTGATGTAGATTGTTTTAGGTTTGCCTGCCACTTAAATAACTTTAGTTCACCTGTTTAACTGCTTTTATTTAAATGTATTTGCTTGTTTTCATGATCGTAACCTTGGTACACTTTTATAAAAGGGAGCTCGTGGAAACGGAAGTGCTCAGTGTTAGAAGGAAAGGCCATCTTTTTCCCATGTGTTTCATATTTCAACATCACAGAAGAATTTTTGATATATTTATGTTCATCCTGTGTTCTTGTAATCTGCTAGAGCAACGCTAGCCTAAAAATAACAATAATGAGGAAGTAGGCATTTAACCCTACTGTGTAAATGTTGCCCTCACTTACTAAAATTGATCCCTACTAATGAATCAACTGAAGGTTACTAGCCAGTGACAAACCGGGGCTAGTTGGAAGGTCATATGAGGCACAGCCCTACATTGTGGGATGCTCCCTAGTAGTCCAATGGGCAGCAGGAAGATTTACGGACTGCAGAAATGAAATGAGCTTTGTGTTCTTGCTGGAGTTGTGTGTCACATCAGTTGCCTAGAAGGCCTGCTTCTTGTCTATTCTGCAACACCCATACACTTAGCTACTTCTGGGGGCACTGGTGGTCTTTATGTTCATTTCCAGGAGAAAACAAATCATTACAAGCTTGCGACAGCCTCTCCGTTAATGGCCTTCTGAGGTAGGACGGTTGCCCATTCCAGACAGTTTCCTCATGGAAAATCTGGGCAGGAAGAGGTCGTTGACAACATTCCTGGGGACTGAGGCACGGAGCTTTACTGCTACGAGGGGATTGTGCAAGCTGGTCTTTTGGAAAATGCAACTTTGAGAAGGGATTTGGGAGTCTGAAACAAGACCAGCAAGGACGTGAGTCAGAATATGCACAGCCCTCACCATGGAGGATGTCACCAAATCAGGAAGCTGCATTCTCAGTCTTCGTTCTAGTTGCAATGGCTAGTTAGAACTATGCATTATGAGACTTATGGCATTGTGGCACAAGTCATTTGCAATTCTGGGATGTGTCTGAGCAATACAGAAACACGCACATGAAATCTATGTGGAACTGCCTTGCTGATTTTCCCTTACAAGTTAAACCATGAGCAAACTTTTAATCACACACTGGAGGGCCTCTGCAGGGCCACAGATATCTGTTCCAAGGGCCCAATCCAGCAGGCTGGGCCCCCGGATCATCAGTTTTTGAAAATGAAAATGGGCTTTGATCACTGCTCAGTAGCACCATCCCATTGTGAATGCAGATGAAGGTAAAGGTAAAGAGACTGGTGACCATTAGGTCCAGTCGTGGCCGACTCTGGGGTTGCGGCGCTCATCTCGCTTTATTGGCCGAGGGAGCTGGCATACAGCTTCCGGGTCATATGGCCAGCATGACTAAGCCACTTCTGGTGAACCAGAGCAGCGCACGGAAACGCCGTTTACCTTCCTGCCGGAGCGGTACCTATTTATCTACTTGCACTTTGAGGTGCTTTCGAACTGCTAGGTTGGCAGGAGCAGGGACCGAGCAACGGGAGCTCACCCCGTCACGGGGATTCGAACCGCCAACCTTCTGATAGGCAAGTCCTAGACTCTGTGGTTTAACCCACAGCGTCACCCACGTCCCTGAATGCAGATTACTTCTCTATTTTGGTTCCTACTTTGTTGACTGTTGCTAAATCCTGTGACAGAGGGTGGAACTAGCACTGCGTGACAAGAGAGGAGCAGCAGGGAAACTTTTGCTATATCTACCTGCTCTGTGTTTGATGCTGCACCAGCTCCCTTCGCTGGCCATGACACTGGACTTCGGGGTGGAGTAGGGAGATGCCCCAAAATTAAGGACTTCTAGCCTTGGCTAGGGTGGGTGTGAGTGTTCCGGTTTTTGTTTTTCTCAGCTGGTTAGTGGGTGGGCATATTGTTCCGTTTTATTTTTGTTGTTGTTGTTTAGTCGTTTAGTCGTGTCCGACTCTTCGTGACCCCCTGGACCAGAGCACGCCAGGCACTTCTGTCTTCCACTGCCTCCCGCAGTTTGGTCAGACTCATGTTTGTAGCTTCAAAGACACTATCCAACCATCTCGTCCTCTGTTGTCCCCTTCTCCTTTCCCAATTTCAGGGTCTTTTCCAGGGAGTCTTCTCTTCTCATGAGGTGGCCAAAGTATTGGAGCCTCAGCTTCACGATCTGCCCTTCCAGTGAGCACTCAGGGCTGATTTCCTTCAGAATGGATAGGTTTGATCTTCTTGCAGTCCATGGGACTCTCAAGAGTCTCCTCCAGCACCATAATTCAAAAGCATCAATTCTTCGGCGATCAGCCTTCTTGATGGTCCAGCTCTCACTTCCATACATCACTACTGGGAAAACCATAGCTTTATTTTTACTCTACTGCTAAGGTTGTGACTGCTGTTATGAGATGCTGTTATTTATACCTCTGTCTGTCTATGTTGATGCTTTATATGATTTTCTTTTCTATTTTCTAATATATTTATGGATATGTTCTTTAGTGTGAGTCGCTTGGAGCCATTTCAGGTAACAAGCAACTAATATGTATTATATATACACATATATACCTTGGCTCCTGAATGCCTTGGAAGTTGAACGTTTCGGCTCCCAGATGATTGAAAACCAGAAGTGAGTGTTCCGGTTTTCGAACGTTCTTTCGGAAGCTGAATGTCCGACGGGGCTTGCGTGACTTACAGGTTGCAGGAGCTTCCTGAAGCCAATCAGAAGCCGCGTTTTGGAAGTCAAACGGACTTCCGGAATGGATTCTGTTCGACTTCCAAAGTAAAACTGTATATATATATACACACACACATTTAGAAAAATAAAGAATAAGAAAATAAGAAGGATAAAATTATAAGTGTACAAAGTAAAATGACATAAAAGAATAAAATAACAAAAAAAACTTATAAGCATTACATGAGTGTTATTGCAGTTAACCTAAACTTAACGTTAATACAGTGTTCATAAAAATGAATTCCAAATATCATTAAATCTGTCCATGGCAAGTTTACGTTTGTACTCAACTTGTTCATGTGTTTTTTTAATAAATATGTTTAATGAATAGTATCATCAAACAAGGTGAATGGAAGAGGTGGAAAATAATAGCGGGAGGAGACGGGAATCTGCAGGAGAAAGCGGGATGTTAGATCTTCCTCCTACCGCGCCACTCTGACATACCTATTTACAGGTTTGGAGTCCATCTTAGAGAGAAATGGTCAGCAGATTTCTGTGGGACAGCTTCCCTGAAGAATAGACAGGCATAAGACAGGTTAAGCCCTCGCCTCCTGCTCTCCAGTTCTCCCCTGAAAGTGGTCTCCTGAGTCCAGACTTGCATTATGAAGAAAACGTGAGGTTAGGCTTTAATGCTTTCCTCATAATATGTCTTTCCAACCTACATTCCTCAAACCAAATCTAAAGAAAAGCAGAACATTCAAAGGCCTTCAATGAGGAGAATCATTCATATGGACCGCGCCTGCTTTTTCAATGCCTTTTCCTTGTTACACTCTGATAGGCTATTTAGGTATTTTGCTTTGTGGCAAACCTGAAGTATTTGCATAAACTGCTCATGAATCATTGATATAGATACGAGAGTGAAACAGGTTAGAAAGCTTTGATATTAGTGAATTTCTAAGAAAGAATATCTACTTTCCAAAGCTGCTGATATTTCAGTACAAGACTACCTGTCAACAGGCAGAGCTAAAAACATAAATCTTTTTTATTGTGAAACATCTCTCCGAATTAGAAACATTGATGGGCGCTCATATCATTAAAGCATTAACGAAGGCAAGATTACCTAGATAACTCTGTAGCAACAGAAGTAGAGATCTGCTAAAGGAGGAAAAGGACATCAAATATAGTTTTGTGTACACCTAAAAGTGTTATGTGTGAGTGTGGCGCATCTCTGAGATTTCGACTTGTCTAACGTGTGTCTGTTACAGCAGCGGTCAGCAAAATGAAAAGCAATTTTGCGTTGTGCAGATCTTCCTGGCAACCTGCCTAGACATTTCTTTTGAACTAAATGTTGTCCCTGGACATTTGAAGGGAAATCTGAAGAGATTAATTTCCATTTATATCTGAAAAGTGTCTATTAGAGTGTGTCCAACAAGCAGGCAGACAAAAGGAAGCGATAGGACTGCTAAGAATTCGAAATCAGTGGGTGACAGAGGGTGTGACAGTCGTCTGGGATCACACTGGGGAACAGGAGAGGGTTCTGAATACTGTGAGAGAGCTGATTCTTTCATGTGCAGCCTGCAAATATTTTCTACTTGGTACTCTAGGTGGGAGGAATCTTTTGATTTCCAGATGTTGTTGACGGACTCCCAACACTAAGCAGCTCCAGCCAGCATGTTCAATGGTCAAGGATGATGGAATCTGTAGTCCAACACCCATCCTGCTCTAGGATATTCAAGCATTAGACATAAGCTGAGATTTAATCAGGTAAACTTGCTGCATTTCCATATCCAGAACAATGGCAGGTGAAACATATTGCCGTTGGTTCTGCTTAAATCACACACCATTAATGCAGATGCGCTTGTCTGTTCCACTGGCTGCAAGTAGGAGAAGTGTCTCTTGTAAAGGCTAAAATAACTGATGAGATCTAGCAAATAGCAGCCAAGGAAAACAGCAGCAGCACTGCAAGCAGGTTGGGTTGGGTTAAATGGTATGGCAAATGTAGATGACACGGTATCTACATAACTCTATGATGCCACTGTGGTATGGTAAATGCAGACCACTAGAATTTCTCCCACTGTCTTATGGATTATGATGGATTTGAGAAAGAGATCAGATCCATCACATTCACCAATGCCGTCTTCTCTACATCAGCTGTTTCACTTACCAGGAAAGTTGTGAAGGGGGGACTTAGATCTTTGGGGCAAGCAGGGGACCAGAATGAAAAAGGCCCCGGAATCTGGTACACAACATCCAGATCTCGAATAAAAGAGGCACACAGAGGATACATATGGAGGGAAGCATTACTTCAGATAAAACTCATTTCTCAAGGATAATTAAAGTAGCCAAATCTGTCCATTTCAATTCCACATTTTTCCCAACTTAAGTTCAGTTCTCCGTGTTTCCACATCAGATTGCAATATTTTCCTAGTGAAAAGTCATCAGCATTTTAGTGCAAACTTCTCCTAATAGGGGCATGCTTGCAATTTTGCCTACGATCTGCATTTTTGCAAAGCAGATTTCCATAACACAATGCAGTTTTGTATACTGTGTTCACCAATATATGCATTTACATGCACATTTTACTCTAGCATATAGATTTTTTGTAGGATGAAGAACTTCAGTGCAAAAGTTGGGAAAGTTTATGGGTTACAGGATGGCTGTGTTTTGGGCCGTGTATCGTTTTGAGAAGTGTGGATTGGGTAGGCTCGCCTTTAAACGTAAGTGCATTCAAATTTGTCACCCGCCCCCCCAGCCATCCCCAGTTCTTACCTTGCAAGTCACACACCAGAGTGGCAGAAAACCAGACACAGATCTCCAAGTCTCCTGAAACAGTGGAAGAAAAAGCAGCTGCAGATCCGTCCCACCCACTCGCTCTCCCTGTCGCTGCTGTCAGCCCCTTCCATCACCTGCCACACGGCACATCTGGATTTCTGTTCATCACACAGCAAGGGGAGGAGGGTGTGGAACGACATGTGCAGAAACTGAAAGGGTGTGGAGGAAATGTATGGGAGGCACAGTCGATGCCTTGTGTTTTCCACAACTTCGGGAGACTGAAAGGCCTGTTTCCTGTTTCTGGTTTGCAAGATGGAAACTTAAGAGTTTCACCGACTTGAAAGGGATTTGTCCTAGAGTAAGCCATTTGAGGTTGGTCGTTTCCCTCCCTTTGGAATATCGCTTTAAGATCTACCAAAGATTTTCTTTTCAGATTTAAGGAAAAACACCACAGACAAAGGCAAGTGTCCTTGCAAATATTGCCTGTGAAATGAAATAATAGGGGGGGTGGGGGGTGCAAGGTGGGTCTTTTACGGTGCTTTTTCTTCGAATAACTAAAAGCTGATTAACGGCCAGTTTTGTCGCTTAAAAAAAGAAAGAAAAGAAACCACATGCAATTCAATCCTTGGAAAATGTGATCAGTAATGGTTTAGTGAGTCTAATACAAATAAAATCCAGATAATTAGCAGCTAGAGCTACCATCTACCAGCTGCACTGACTTACAAATACAATAGGAGTCATTTATGCAGCAAATGCTGAGTTAGCCCAAAGTAGCTGATTTTAATTTGATTTACAGCAAAATGTTCCCCCCATCCTACATTCCTCTTTGACCACCCTATGTTGCCTGCAGCCCAAATAAGGAACCAACATCTCCTGAATCAGGCTCATAGAAACTGTGGAGCTGAGCCATGTCATCCACAACCCCACCATGAGCTGCCACAGGCAGCAATTGAAAACGTGGTCATATGGCGGATGACTGTTCCACTCCTCACTAAATGCTACCACTGCCCTTAAGGCTGTTAAAACATGGCAAGAGAAGTGGCAAATGTCACACATTGTCCGAGAGCAATAGCCCCCTGCCCCCAAATTTAATGGATTTCAAAAGATGAGCACACCCTGGCGCTCCATAACATACCATAAGAACAGCTAGTGTTTTTTCGTAGCAATGAAAGCATGACACTATTCAGGTTTACTGAGAAGCCCCATTAATTTCAATGGGATTTACTTCCAGGAAAATATTGTTTAGTACTGCAACCTTTGATCAAAGAAAGAAACAGAAACAAGCCCCCAAACCAATAAAATGATAATGAGGGCTCTCCCCCACCCCACTGCCACCCCCTGAGAGCTTTGCATGTATGGGTCTATATACAAAACAAATTAAGCTAGGAATTGCTTTTAACAGCTCTTTTGTGGCGTTCCTCTTTTGGAAATCTACCTTCATATACTAATTAACCTCTGGGTGACTCTGTGTAAATTAGACGATTCCTTTGCCGAATTCCTGCAGTAGTAAAATAAGACATCTGAAAAGATTTAAGGGTAGCCAGCAAAGTTTCCTTTCCAGTACAGCATTAAATAATATACTGATACAGATGCAACATGGCTGGGGGAAACAGATTAATGTCCCCCTGATATAAAGAGGGGATGCTGGGGGCAAGAACTGGAATAGGAAAGAATGATGATTCTCCCCACCCCTAAGGTTCAAGGGCAAAACCCTTGGTTGTGACCTTATCTGCAGGGCTCCATGAATTTCGTGATGCTCATGCTGATTTATACTAATTTGTGCTTTTAGGCCTTTCCCTCTAGCAAAATCTGAGTCCCTGGAGTTCAGGGGTGTGGTTCAATCCTTGGGGATGTCTAGCTAAGGACTCCACCCCCACCTCACCCCCCGCTGCTCCAGAGGGTAGACCCTGAACCAATGGATTCAAATTAAAAGAAAGGAGAGTCCCACTAAACATTAGGAAGGACTTTCTGACAATAAGAACTGTTCAACAGTGGAACGGACTCCCTTCAGAGGTCCTTCCTTGGAGGTTTTTAATCAGAGGTTGGATGGCCAGTTGTCATGGATGTTTTAGCTGTGATTCTTGCATTGCAGGGGGTTGGACTACATGACCCTTGTGGTTCCTTACAACTCTCAATTAGATGATTCTATGATCTCCATTGTTCCTCATTCCAATGCCTGGTTCTCGGTGAAGTGGTTAAACCTGGGTCTGCGCTCCATCACTGTGGTGTCCTCTCATGACTGGACCGCTCCTTCATAATGAAACATGTTCTGCGCATAGAAGACCGTGTGTCATGGGGATGGGTTTTGTTTTGACATGCCCTACTGCGTTTTAAGCCTTTGTGAAGTGTCTTCAACTTGAGATTTAAGGGAGGGGGTTGAAATTCCTGCTCCTCCCTCCCATCATCTGCCCCTTAAGTAATACAGTGGTAC